CAGCTGAAGAAGTGCAAACGAAGAATCATAATTTCTAATGAAAAATGTCGTGGCTACCACAAAATCTAACAAGCTTTTGCTCAATTAATTCTGAACTGTCAGCCTGTCAATCATCTACACTTATGTTTCTGACACGCGTCGCTAAACTATTGGGTCATCCCAAGGACTATTCCTGTCCAAATTATGGGTATTCAGGTAAATGCGGATGAAAATAATTCAGTTATACTTACATGTAATTGTAGGACTAAAATGTTGTACAGCCAGAAACAGCTCACTGAAATGAGTACCCTATGAGTATATATAATATTTCTTTATTTATACAAAATACTTCGAAATATCATTAATATAGTAAATACAACACGATTATTATAGTTATACTCGTGAAATTTGCAATAAATCTAGGAATCTATATAGAACTTAGAGATATTGCAGTTTTCTAATCCATAAATTAAAATATATATATAGTTCTAGTGACAGTGTGTTTGGCATTTGGGCCTTTAAAAGCTTATTTTCACATTTACAGGTGATTGATGATTCCAGTACTATCAACATGATGATGTACGTTCGTGGAAACTCAAGAGATAATTTCCTTCTGAACTTAGAAAATAACAGGGATCCAGAGGTAACAAATTTGATATGTCACTAAATACGAAGAGCCATCCAGGTGAAACCTTCCTTTTCTCAATAAAGGAAAATCCACACTACTATAGCCAAAGTGGTTACCAATCGGTACAATGATTCCCGTACAACGACATCAATAACGATATCTTGCTGAATGCATGGCAAGAACTCGATTACAAACTCGTAGATGTCAACGCAAAGACGATCACACCAATTAGGTGTGATTAATCTACAAACAGCTTCCGCAAATGGAACACGTCAAAGCACATACAATCCATCAGATGCAAATGCAAGAATCTAACTTTTAAAACAGAATCGTACGTAACAAAATTACTTGCAGACAGTAAAACGTGCAATAGGCGTTGAATATGCTTCAGAATGCAACCGAACTAAATTAAGTATAGTTTTTGCATAAAAGGAGTAATTCTCTCCGCTGGATTCATTAATTCTTCAAAAATCCTTATGTTTTCTGCAATTGGAACAAGAAAAGAATTAAAGAATTGTGGTATTGAAATAATTAGTAATTTATGAGTTGAAAGAAACCTT